TATTGGCTCTGACTGTCCTACCGAAGGGCCCGGGTTCGAATCCCGGAGAAGGCCTGGATGTTTATAAATGTATAGTTTCTGTGAGGCATGGAGTCATTCTAAATATGTGGCAAGCCGGAAGTCCTCTTGAGAGGTTGTGGTAGGGAAGAGGGGTAGAAGGCCCTCAGACCTATCCTCCTGGAGACCTATCCTCCATCAAAACTGGGTCGAAAATGAGCAAAGTCGTACTATGACGGTGCTCAAGGCTCTTGCCAACGACGGTGCTCAAGGCTCTTGCCAACGACGGTGCTCAAGGCTCTTGCCAACATACTCAAGGCTGTTGCCAACGACGGTGCTCAAGGCTCTTGCCAACGACGGTACGGTGCTCAAGGCTCTTGCCAACGACGGTACGGTGCTCAAGGCTCTTGCCAACGACGGTACGGTGCTCAAGGCTCTTGCCAACGACAGGCGCCACCTTGCGCTCCTTGCCAAGATGATTGTCGTGGGCTGTTTCTGATGTTAGTATCAGATAGGTAGGATAAGTCACAATAACACAACACTCGCAAACAAACCACCATTTGTTCTGTTGTAAAACTGTGGAAACATCCAAACTCTGTTATTCAATCAGACGACGTCGTACCTCCTACCAGTGTTACCTGCACTAACATTCAATTAAGGAAATCTGCACTCTATAATAACGAACAATAAAATATAACTTTAATAAGAATTGTTTGCATGCGACGGTTTATAAATAGTTAACTGTGGACATATATTTGACAGTTATTCCCTTAAAGAAGAATACTTTAGTGGAGAACAATTTAACGGGAACACGTTTGTTATCATTTTCATGCAAATGATTATTTATGCAAATAAACAAAGTCTAAGCAACGAGCTTCTGCTGCCACCGTGATTTAATACCCGAATGTAAATGTTGACGTTTCGCAAATTTATCAACTCACCTCCAACATGGTCCACCAACTGTCAAAGATGCTAAAGCCAAAATGTCCCTAGTCGTTTATCCCTGCTTAAAATGATTAAAACTGTTAAGTTTTCTCTTTGTAGAATGTAAACAAGAGCTAGTTTCCCTTAAGAAATTCATTAACGAATATATCCATTCTGTTAGGCAGATAGCTCCCTAGAGCTTTACCATGTTTAATCAGTCTACTGTCACGCGACTTCTTGTCTGTCATGAGATTATATGCATGTAATTTTCTTGTAATAATTGAATAGCAAGTTGTTAATTTCTAATATTTGTTAAAAAATTAGTAATTTCTTTCTTTTGCTCTTTTTCTGTACTCTGAATTTGAATTTGGCTTTATTTCTAAAACGCTTGATTGCCTTCTTTAACATGCCAACTAATGCATGAAACTAATAGCTTTGAACACAGTGAAGTAGAATTATATAAATCATCGAACAATGAATCAGAAATGATCATAGTGGCCTAACTAAAAGGAAATACGAATTAAAGCCTCTTGTCCAGTTCATACCCATTTATTCTCGAAAATACTTCTTGTTTTATCTTAAATTGTTTCTTTCTTCTCCCTTCACCAAAATCATAATTTCAGGTTATTATCTTTTCCTTTAAATTATAGGGTTTTTTCTCCCTCCTTTCTGCATGCTTTTGTGGTGTAACGGAAGCACACTCGGCGCGCTTATTCCAGAGGTCCAGGTTCGAGTCTCGGTTTAGGCATTGCTCATTTTTCATGCATTCCTGCTTCAAAATAACCTAATGATTCTACACAACATATAAAATGAAATCGTAAAATAAGTATTACAAATTAAGAGAAAATATTTTTTTAAAGTTTAAGAAAGATGCAAATAACTCCATATCACCAATCAAAATTTCCAAAAACATTTTAAAGGGTACTATTCGGTTTTGAAGGCCGCAAAAAGTTGCCAAACTATCGTTGATGCCAGTGCTGCCAAAAATAATTGCGGCAACCCTAATGCAAAAAAGGAAGTACAATAGTAAATAACTAAGATTGATGTTTTAATTTAGATGAAAGGTTAATTTCATATAATACTTTTTTATTATTATAATTTATATAAAAAAGGCTAGACATGACTGAATGGAAGCATAAGAGTAAATAACTATTTCAGATCATTATTATAATTTTTATAAAAATTGTTAAACATAACTGAATGGATGCCTGCATCGCTATTTCGCTACCGAGTTATCGCTAAAGCATAATTTCATCTCGTTGGTTGTTCAACTATCATTTTCTATAATGAATGATACCTTTTCTTTGAAAGAATTCTCGGTAAATTGCAGAATCGCCCACTTATTTGTTTGTCGTTTCTTACACGGGTAAAAACAATTGGATTTTTGTCAATTTTCTTTTACATTTTAAGTTAAAATAGGTCAATGTGTACATGGATACCGAGTATGTGCAATACTTAAAAACGCGCCAAGCATTGGGTAATTCTGCACTTTACCCAAAATTCTATTGCAGACTTTTCGTCATGGGCAATTCCCAAATTTTTAAATCCACAGGATTTTAAAAATGAAACTAGTATTTCAATGGCGTTTTAAGCAATATAGAACTATATAAACTTACGCACTCTGAAATCAGCGCGTACGCTAGATTTGGCGCGCTGTTAAATGGGCGCTTTTGCTAGATTTGGCGCTTTTCGCATACATTTTCGCTGAAATTTTTTTACGGTCCTCAAAACAGAAGATTAGTACCCTTTAAAGAAATTAATGAGATAGCTATCACCTACTACCACAAAATTCTATTTTGAATAACTATATCTTTATTTGGAAGAAAATAGCATTGAATAATATCCAAATACAAGTTAATTGTAATTCACATTATTCCGGAGGAAAGGTGTAATTTACGTTTAATCTTAACAAATTAACTTGGAAACCTGGCTACTTCTTTTTCTTTTGAAAATTAAATCATTCAGTGCATTTTAAAATACACTCATGTCCATAAATTAAGGATAATTTGGAGTCACGCGGAAATCGAACTCTAAAATAAATATATCATCTGTAAAATCACTACACACATCTTCAAGAATCATATGCAAATTTCAGGAAATGCATATGATTCAGGAAATGCAGATGACACCGATGGTACGTCACAGTGACGAGAGTGTAAGAGTGTGATATATAAGGAATACAGGCAAAGAAGTAAAATTGTTCGTAGGCGCTTTATAAGCATTTCAGTGCAATAACCGAATAGTTATGACACAAAGGACGCATTAGGATGATTTTTTACGTGGTAGAATTATAGGCAGTCTGGAATTATAGGCAGTCTGGCGTACCCAACTGGAAGTATCAGACGAACTTAAAATTGCCCAGAGTGTCATCTCCAGGCTTTGGCAACGATTCCAAGATGATGGTAATGTGAGTAGACGTTACAGCACAGGTCGCCCCAGAGTTACAACGCCGAATGAGGACCGGTATTTGGCAGTTACTGCCAAAAGAAACAGGCGGAGCACAGCCTCAGACCTGTCTCGTCAGCTCTCTTCAGCCACTGGTACGACAATTTCAAGGCAGACCGTGTACAGACGCTTAGGGCAGATTGGTCTATATGCTCGTAGACCTGTCAGATGCTTTCCACTTACGGCAACTCACTGTCGCCTGCGGTTAGCCTGGAATAGAGAACATGCATTGTGGACCATGCATGCACGTCTGTTTCGGGCGCCATGGGCGCACAATTTGTGTTTATGGATGACAACGCCCGTTCTCACCGTGCAAACATCGTAAGCGAATGCCTTCAATCGGAGGATATCACCCGTATGGACTGGCCAGAATTCTCACCGGACTTGAATCCAGTAGAGCACGTGTGGGACATGCTTGGCCGACGAGCTGCAGCCCATCAACCTCCTCCTTTATGTCTACCGGAACTTCGGAGAGCATTACTCTTTGAGTGGTGTAATATTCCCCAAGATGAGATCGATAATTTGATACTCAGCATGCCTAGGCGTTGTACGGACTGTATTGCATCGTCTGGGAGACATACAATGGATTAACAATCATACCAACCATGTAATATTTTTTTTGTAAATAGTTTTTTTTTTTTTTTTTTTTTTTTGTATATTGCTCCAGGGAGAAAAAATCGCTAATTTTTTTAATAATATCAAACATATAGCATCTTTTTTTGCTTTTTACCTTTTGTTTAATAAATAAGCTTTACAAATAAGTCAAATTTGTTTTGCTTCTAACTCTTCCTTTGCCTGATTTTGCATTATCCTTAATTTATGGACATGAGTGTAATTGCAGATAGCAAAGATGCATATTCTAATTGCTACACTCGCAAGCACAATAATCCTATCCAATTGAATCTCCGGAATTCAAGCCTCACTCTATTTTCCCCAACAAAGTCGCACAGACGGTATAGTGGTTAGAGGAGCCTACTGCGGTACCGAGAATCCCGGGTTCGAATCCCGAAGAAGACATGAGTGTTTATAAATGTATAGTGTCCGTGCAGCATGGGAGCATTCTAACTATGCGGCGAGCCGAATGTCCTATCGTGTGGTTTGGTGGAAGGGGAGAGGTGTGCTAGACCCCCGGACCACCCCATCGAGGGGTGCTCTCCATCAAATTTGGGGTGGAAAATAAAAGTCCAACCTCTCTTTGGAGTAGACTCTGGCAACCATTCTTCCATGTAATATGGACCTGGCAACAACAGCAGAAACTGATTGCTGGCTTTTCTTCAAAATCAAGATTTCAGAACATGAAAAAAATCCAAGATGACAGACAGATTGTCATCAGTGTGTAATACGCATTCAGCTGGATAACTTTGGAGAATGTTACGAACAGCGATTCTTTTAAGAAATCCACCGATATAGCCATTAATTAGGTTGAAACGTTTTAAACAACTTTTTAACAATGTCATTTCCAATCTCGATGGGTGTCTAAATCAAAAGATAAGAAGTATTTTACTGATTTCTTGTAAAATTAAGCGAACTTAACAGTCTCCTTACTTTTTATTTTTAATTACAATTTAATTATTAAGAACTTAGTTTTAACTCACATTACTGCAGTAATTTATTGTTTTCTCTCTCTTTCTTAGGTCCACCAGATCCGGTTCAAAACTGCACAATCATGAACATCACCCAACATTCCTTTCGTCTCGAATGCATGGAAGGAGCAAATGGGGGTTTGCGGCAGCATTTCGTCATGGAGGTTCATGATACAGTGCTGCATAGGCTACGAGGCAACCAAACAGCTGATATACCTTTCTTCTTGGCTCGAGATTTACCGCCAGCCACAAATTTTGTGGTGGTGGTGTATGCCGTCAATGCCAAAGGAAAAAGCCAAGCTGTGGTGCTGCGAGTAAACACTTCTCAAGCAAAAACTAACGACCAACGAAAAGGTGCGTTGATGAATTTATACCTGATTATGAAATTTAAATTGGCGAGTATTCTAAAATGTTGTTTGTGTAATAGGAAACATGAGATAGATGAGTATTAGATGCAAGGAATACTGATAGTATTCTGATCATAATCTCGGGAGAAGAGCGCACAGAACGGCAATTTTTGCTGTTACGTTTTACAGTTTTATATCTAGAAGCAAGCTGCAGTTTTAAAAGCCTTTTAAATTAGCATACATTTTAACATGGCTGATTGGAAAAGGATGTCTAGAAGTAACCAAAATTAGAGAAGAAGAGTATTATTATGCAAAGAATAGTTATTAAAATTAAAATTTAGAGAAGATGGAATTCTGATATGTTTTACAGTTATTATTATCTTCATTCTTTACATTTTTTGATACTACATATACTGTTTTGACCTATAAGATTTTTTCATCCTCTTTCCAGCATGTCTTGGTCGTGTAACGGTAGCGCACTCGGCTTGTATTCGAGAAGTCCGGGTTCGAGTCCCAGAAAATGCATTGCTCACGTTTCATGTCTCCTGCTTCGAAATTACCTAATGACTCTGCAGACCTTACTTTGCTATTTTCATCCCATTCTAAACATAACGAAAATAGGTGCATGCTTTACTGGTTGCATAAATGCTTATGGAGGATAAATAACTTTATCCTCCATTTATCCTCCATAGCAATGTTTCCGCCCCAAAAACTATTTATGTTAATATGGGTATCAGACGTGAACAAGGTCCAAATTAATCCATGGCTATGTATTCTAAAGTAGTAATTTTAAATTTTAAAATTAGTCTCCAAAATAGGAAGTTAAAATGACAATTTAAATACATCTAAAGCATTACATGATAACATGATAAACGAAAGTAATCCATAAAGAAAAGAAATCAACTTTAGAAAACTGTAATACTCATAAATTTGCATGCAGTTCACTTCCCTTAAGCTTAATGTGGAAAACTTGAATTTTAATAATAACTGTCAAAACAGGTATTAAGGTGACGAATAATCCTCATTTTTCTGAATACGTTCCATCATATCAATTCAACTTTTTTTACAAAATGCATTTTAATATATTGGGGAGTAGATCATTTCCGCGTAATCAATTTCGCTAGTGCTTCTTTTTAAAGTAAACGTTCATTTTTCTCTTTCACGTTTAGAATTCTGATTCTTTAATATTGAGACTAATTTATTTTCTATTGGCATCATTTCTCACTTAAGCTTTTCTTTTACTTTCAATTATATTAACGAAAGCAAATCTGGCGTTCTAAATTAATATATATCTTAACATTAAATATATATATATATATACATTATAGCTTGACATTAAATTACAATTAAATCCAGAATAATTATTACATTGTGTAACACATTGTTCGTTGCTTCGCAATTTATAATTCTTCTAATTTTACAACATTAAAATGCGTGTGATAACAAGAGTCAGTAAATTTCTCTTATGTAGTAAAATGCGTGTGATAACAAAAGTTTCAATACAGTTAATTTCTCTTATACGAACTCGAATATAGAATATTTTCGACTATAAGAAAGAAAAGTAAATGGTTGGTAAGCATAGTTTTAAGAGGACTCATACACCTTAAAAACCATAAGATCTTCGAATATGTGACTGTTGCAAAGAATTGGGATAACTTATTTATTTGAAAAGCAATGACTTCCAACGTTTTACAACTGACTACCTAATATAGCTGCTTTCTGAAATATTAATCAGAAAATTTGTGTTGCCACAAATATTTTTATAATTTAATCCGCTTTGTGACAAAATATTTCGTCACGTTTCCACCTTGCGCGCACAGTTTAAAACATTCTGTTGCATAATTTAATTCCATATTCAATATATACTTTTATAACCTTTGGAAACTACTGTGAACCAAAAATTCTAAGAATTTCATGTTAAATTTTAATTTTGTTTGGCGTCGAGTTTATAAAATATGTTTTTATTAAAAAAATCTGTAATGTTTTCGTACATAAAATTTTTAATATTAAAATATTCATCAGATTTTTCGTTCAGTTAAAAGATAGGGCCCATATAAAGAATTCCATCCAATTTCAAGTATGTACCATTAGCCAGTTTTAAAATATCGTGCGCGCAAGGTGGAAACGTGACGAAAAATTTTGTCACAAAGCGGATTAAATTACAAAAATATTACTGGCAACAGAAACTTTCTGGTTACTAGTTTCTAAAGCAGCTATATTATGTAGTAATCTGTAAAAAGTTGGAAGTAATTGATTTTAAAATGAATAAAATATCCCAATTCTTGCAACAGTCACATATTTGAAGGGTGTCAAGGGGTGTAAGGTGTATGAGCCCCCTTAAAATAGAGGACCATTTAAATATTTATATTACCGTGAAAGACCGAACTGGGAGAGTGTCGACATTCACCAAATACGTCGGTGAAAGATCGAATATTGAATTACATTCTTGTACATTCGGACCTTCACCGGTGTATGTCGACAATCACAGATATGCTCTGCTGTAGGTCGAAAAGAGAGGAGTATATGTACACGCTGACACTGCAAAAGGAAGTGTTCCACAAATAAATGCAGATGTAAAAGCCAAGGGCCACTTGTGCAATTCAAAGTTTCATAACAGTTTACGTTGTTGCAATAAATAAGTTTCGAATCACATAGTTTAGTAAGTTTTTAACTTCTACTATTTTCCTTTCTTATTTTGAATGTACTGTGTGGTTTAAGTTCTTATGTTCTTATTTTAAGTTTCAAAAGCGTTTTTCGCGACTGAATTACGGAGAAGAAAATATAATATTCTTATGTGTTTGTGTTTAACATATAACGTTGCGCGCCTCCAACTTGCACGCAACCAAGGGGTGACTGTGAAAACAGTATAACACACAGAGTCTTGTAAAGGGTTTAAGTCCCTTTTTATTCAACGTAATAAATTACAATTGCGTGCTCTTGACGCTTACAGACGGTGCCAACTCGGCAGTCAAATAAAAATAATAACCTGAAAAGAAACTAAAGACAAGATTCTAACTACGAGGCTCTCTAATATAACTAACTCACCGCGTTTTACAATACCGCTGCTAATTCAGCAGACTTGAAGCTCACTGGAACAATTACCACTACTTCCCGCCAAGCACATAGGCCGAAACGCGGGGTCCTTCAAATTCTCGCTATCTACCTCCGCGCTCGCTAAGTAAGAATATCACACACCGAACTTGTTTCCTCTCTATTTAAATCAGAATACTTCCGCTGATAATTTGAATCCTTGCGCGTTCTACTAAAATTTACATATTCTGGCATTGGCAGTTCCAGGGGAAAGTAAGGCTTGACAGGAAAGATAGTTTAAACTTAAAATAAATGTTAGTTAAAATAAATATAAAACCCTACAAACATTCACCATTATTACATGGTGAATGTCGACATTGACCGCTGTAAGTCAGAAATAAGAATATTTTGGAAAATATTTCGGACATACACCAAGCGACTATGTGAATGTTGACATTCACCGGTGAAAGTCGACATTCTCCAGATTTCGGTGTTTCACAGTAACATTTATATTTATACGAAAACTTAGAAATTATATTTTGTGTATAATATAGTCAAATGCATTTTCTCAAATTGTATTTGCACTTATTGCTTATTTTATATCTCTAAATAAAATTCAATATTTGTTTAAAAGCGGTGAACGAGCGCTGATTTTTCTCTTCCTACTAAACATTTAAGAGAGAAGAAACTTCACATCCATTGATTTTTCACATTACAGAAGATGAGCTTTGGTGTTGTGACATCACTTTTGACAGTAAGGCTGCATAAAATTAGTTCTCAGTGACATTTAATTTGCGCTTTAACCCTCTCGCTGCGTATCCCACGACTTCCATGGGCAACGTAGAAGTAGCAAAATTTGCGCAACCCGGTGATTTCCGCGGGGATGAATTTTTGCCGTCTACTTAATTGTGCAACCCTCTCTTTCACTGTCCGAGGTTTCTTTTTGGCTTTTCTGTGATGTTTAATTGTTTATTTAGATGTGGGCAAACAGATGACGTTAGTTGTCCCCATTTCTGCCAAATATACAAAAATGCGTAATGCAGCATTTTGCGCGCGCTCTTCAGAGCTCAAAGATGTCTCGCAGGAAGCGTTTCGCGAGTGATACAACCTATAATCCTGACGATATTTCCGACACAGATTGTAGTTCTGATTCTGATTTTAAGTACACTCATGTCCATAAATTAAAGATAATGCAAAATCAGGCAAAGGAAGAGTTAGAAGCAAAACAATTTGACTTAATTGTAAAGCTTGTTTATTAAACAAAAGGTAAAGAGCAAAACCAGCCTGCTTATATTGATATTATTAAAAAAATTAGCGATTTTTTCTCCCGGAGCAAATACAAAAAACCAATATTAGATGGTCGGTATGATTGTTTATCCCTTGTATGTTCCCGACGATGCAATATAGTCCGTACAAAGCCTAGGCATGCTGAGTATCAAATTATCGATCTGATCTTGGGGGATATACACCACTCAAAAAGCAATGCTCTTCGAAGTTCAAAAGACATATAGGAGGAGGTGACGGGCTGCACTCGTCGGCCAAGAGTCCCACATGTGTTACTGGATCAAGTCCGGTGAAATGCTGGCCAGTCCATACGGGTGATATCCTCCGATTGAAGGCATTCGCTTACGATGTTGCACGGTGAGAACGGGGCGTTGTCATCCATAGACAGAAATTGTGCGCCCATGGCGCCCGAAACAAAACGACATGTTATTCCAGATTGACGTCCGATAGATTTGGCTTGTCAGGTTGAATTTGAACATGCAGTCAGTTCTGGAACCCAGAATAATTCACCCCAAACGAGCACTACTGCACCACCGTAACGGTTGTTCAAGAGTTTTCTTGGCGGTAACGGGTACTGAAGCTCTCCATATGAAAGTCCGACGACTCAGACTGCAAGCAAACCTAGACTGTCGGAAAAAATCACACAAGCTCACTGTGCGGTCCACATGCATTTTCTCTACTCCAGGCTAACCGCACGACAGTGACTTGCAGTAAGTGGGAACGCTCTGACCAGCTACGAGCATTACGAGCATATAGATAAATCTACTAAGCGTCTGTACACGGTCCTTGAA